GACCAACCTTTGATGCCTTTTATTTTCTACTTTTCTATCAAGGTATAACATACACAGCAAGTCTACATATTTTAAGTGTACAGCTCAATGAATTTTTACATATGAATTCCCCCATATAATCACCACCCAAGTCAAGACACAGGATATTTCAAACACCCCAGAAGGTTCCACTGTGTCCCCACAATGGTAGCCATTATTCTGTTATCTACCACGAAAGATCAGCTTAGACTGTTTTTAAATTTCATATAAATAGAATCATAAAGGTTCTCTTTTAAAGTGTTTGGCTTCTTTTGCTCAATGTTACACCTGTGAGATTCATCCTTGTTGCTGCATGTAGCAATAGTTCATTCTTTCTCATGGCTATGTAGTATTCTATTACATAGCTGTGCCTCAATGTATTTATCCATTCTACTGTTGATAGACAGTTGGGTTATTTCCAGTTTGGGGGCTACTATGAATAAAGATTTAAACATTTTTGAATATGTCTTTGTGGTGGACAAATGTACTCATTTATGCTGGGCATATTACACAGGAAGTCAGAGTAGATGTGAGATTATTTTGCTCAAATGCTGAACTATCAGGCTTTCCAGACTACCAAATTGCACACTAAGTATGAGACTTGACTGTATCATTTCTCTTCTAAGGTTTTGGATAACAAAGTCAAGTAGCCCTAAATGGTCTTCCACCCATATGCCACTGAGGCAGTTGCCAAAATGATCCATAAACTACACATAAACAACTTGCCAATTACAGACCTACTGAGTTCCATCTCAGCTGTCACATCAGACAGAAGCACAGCATTCAGATCCAAGGAGCAACACCTTGATCGGCTAAGGACAATTATAATCAACAGCTGTGAATAAGTCAGTGGTTAGTTATGCATTTCTGAAAAACTAGGTATTTTCCCACACATCTATCTGGAAAGGTGTCTATAGAACCAAAATCTTGGGAACGAGCGAGATCTTAAAAGAAAACATCTAATACAATCCTAATACTAACTCCCTATCTTCCATAAAACGCAGCAGAATGAAAAGGGCATGGACTTCTGAATTCGGACATCACAGGCCCTGGTTCACTTCTGGACTTCACCACTTACCAGCACTATGACCCGGGGAAATCATCCTAACCTGACTCTCCATTGCCTCAAATATAAAACGGGAATTATATCAATTATACCACCAGCTCACAGAACCATTGTGAGGATTAAATGAGATAATCTATACAGGTTCTACCATATAATTAATTTTATTTCAAACGTCTCCTTTTAGCAGAAAGAATACTGGCCAGATAGGAGACCTGAGTTATGGCCCTAGAAAATCATACTGTGAGGGCCACCTCCCTTCTCACCCAAACAAAACTAAAGAAATGCCTGAATTACCTCTACAACATCTTGGAAATGAAGTCCCAATCTTCAAACCAGAATACACATATCCCTAGGGGCACATAAAGACATGCAAGCAAGGGAATCAATTTCTATACTACTCTCATAAACCTGATCTGCCCAGATAACTGGATTATCAGTAAAAAATTTTCAACCACAAAATTTATTACGTTAGGACAGGGGTCAGAAAACTACAGCCCATGGGCCAAATTTGGCCCACTATCAATCAAGTTTTATTGGAGCACAACCATGCTCAGCTGTTTGCTTATTGTATATGGCTGTTTTCACACTACAATGAGTTGAGTAGTTATGATAGAGACTACATGGCCCACCAATACTACCATCTGGCCCTTTACAGAAAAAGTTTGCTGACTCCTGCTTTAGGATAAAATTCTGTGGGAAAAGTAGAATGGATACAAGTTTAAATAATATGAAATGGACAAAATTCCAGACCAAACAAATTACCAAAACTGACTCAGAAGTAACAGAAAATCTGGATAGACCTATATCAAGTAAACACATAAAGAAATTGGAAAAAAAAAAGAAAGAAACTGAATTAGTAGTTAATCTTCAAACAAAGAAAAGCCCAGGCCCAGAGGACTTCCCTAGTAAATTCTATCAAACATATAGAAATAATTAACAATCCTACACAAACTGTTTCAGAAAAACGAAGAGGAACATTTTTTAACTCATTATATGAGGGTAGTATTACTCTGATACTAAGGCCAAAGACATCATAAGAAAGGAAAACCTCAGACCAATAACCCTTATGAATACAGACACAAAAATTCTTAACAAAATATTAGCAAATTGAATTCGGCAACATATAAAAAGTATTATACACCATAACTAAGTGGGGTTCACTCCATGAACACACGATTAGCTTAACACCAGAAAATCAAGCAATATAACATACCATTTATATATATACACATCTTAGAGTTATTTTAATATAAAAAAGGTTATTGGTATATTTTAAAAACATCACACTGCTATTGTATTTAGATAACTTTGTATTTTTAAAAAGTCAATACTTACAACAGGTCAGGAATTACATCCTAAACTATTTTAAATTAAATATATATATTTTTATCCCCCCCAAAGCCCCAGTAGATAGCTGTATGTCATAGTTGCACATCCTTCTAGTTGCTCTATGTGGGACGCGGCCTCAGCATGGCCGGAGAAGCGGTGCGTCAGTGCACGCCCGGGATCCAAACCCGGGCGGCCAGCAGCGGAGCGCGCGCACTTACCCGCTAAGCCACGGGGCCGGCCCTAAATTGAATATTTAAACTACTTAAATTTCTAATGAAAAATTTCAGATGCCAACTTAAAAGTGTGTAAGAGATACACAGATTTTCCAACGTTTTGGACACTCTCAAGCAAAAATGTTTTACGATTACTGACCCTGAATATACCTGAAATGACAAGGGGAGAAAGAATCACTCATGCCAAAGCAACTCCACCATATCTTCCGCCAGCCAATAGAAAATCACTTTTTAAAACATTTAACAAATTCCAAGTCCTTTTAACTTCCACCTCCAAATTAATTTACTTTTGTAGAGTACCCAGACCCAAACCTAATATTCCAGGTGTGAGCCACCCAGTGCAGGGGTCAAGTGATGCAATTATTCTAGATTTTACATTTTCCTAATGCAATCTACTACTGCAGGTCACATCAGTTACTCTCACAGCCTAACCACACCACTGATTCAGATGACAGACTCCACATATTTTCATTACATGAACCCCAACTAAGTCACATCTGTACCTTTATTAACTGGTATGATTGAATTTTTGGACCCAAGTGAAATTCCTCATGTTTATATGATCCTTCCATTTCATTAAACTGCACTGGGCAAATCTTGAGATTAACCAGATGATACTTTCTCTCTTCACTTCATAAAGGCAACAAATTTGATACGCATACCCTCCAGGTAAGGCTTCAAATACACATTGTGTACAAAGAAAGTGATAGAGCCTCAACGGAGATTACCAGAATCCCAGCTGTCAATTATGTCTATAAATTAAACCCCTCCAGACACAGATGCTTATGATTCCATCTAGTTTTACCACAACCTGGAAACTGCCCCCATCTAACCGAACAGGTCATCATAAAAGACTTAACAAATGCCTTACTAAAATCCTGACACACTGTCACTATGGTTACTATACTCCTTTGGGATACGAATTTGGATGTCCTGTCCTGTTCTGGCTCAATATAGAAGAACTAGTAACCCTGCTCCTCTGGCTGATAAGAACAGAAAAATGACATATTTTCCACTTTGCATTAATTACTGAATCTCAGGAATCTCAAGGATCTTAAACATTTTCTAGTCTAATGTTTGTCAAACTAAAGATCTTTAGCTGTCAGACCCATTACGGACAATCAATTCAGTAAGCTGCAATCAACTTTTTTCTCTTAATGAAATAGAAAATGTTTCAAAGGGCATCATACGTAGAAAGGGTAAACTTTTATTTCCTGCGTGTGTGTGCCTACACACACACTGTGCATGCAGGGGGCACATTGAGTCACAACATAAAATGTACCTAACTGTGGGTCACAGGTCAAAAAAGTTTGAGAAACACCTTGCTAGTTCCACAACTTCCTTGTTGGGTAGGGCCGACAAGGAAGCTCCACCAAAAAGATTCTTAGTAATCAAAAAGTTGTTATTTGTAACCACCTTCACCTTACACTAGAGAAACAAACAGGAATTTTGTGCTCAGTATACTTAAATTGCCATTCATTAAAAAACAAGACTAGAATCCACCTCATCAGGTTTCCAGTTGCAATACTGATCTGCTCAGAGACAGTCACTTATGTTTTAATGGGATTAAGACATACTTGATAGACAGCAGACTGAAATCAGTTTATTCTGCGGCTAGAGAAGAAAACAAAAACCATTCTGCGCCTCGAGTTCTTCGTCTGTAACCACAGGAAAGGACTGTTAGGACTCCTAGCTCCAAAATGACGAGATTTTATTGAAACCCAACTGGCCAAGCACTATGCCTCCCACACACCAAAACACTTTAACCAGTCAACAAGTCAATTATTGATAAATTCAATCAATATCACACACAGAGTACTGATAAGAAGAGCTCAGATTTACATCAACAGCAGGAAAGAAATCAAGCGGAATTTCCCAGGATTCAGCATTAGCTGCGCTCGAGCAGGTATCATTCATTTCTCTGCCACTCTTGCCTCTCACACCCCAGTTCACCTCTGTCCTCAAGCCATCAGTCACGGTTGTGGCACTCGCGCTCTTCCCTGCCACCCTACTCCACCATGCAAAAGGAAACTGAGCATGCAGCAGTGAGTGCGCGAGCTGCAGCAGCCCCCAACCAGACTGAACCAAGAGCCTAGGCCGCTCATGCCTCAGGTCTCACACAATTCCCAGACTATTTAGAATCCCGCCGGCCTCGGCCTCGCATCACAAACCACAGCCCTGCCGCACCCCCAGTACCTGGCCGCCTGCGCACCCGACGCGGCCCGCAGCTCGCGCCCGCCTCTGTAAGGCTCTACAAGGCCTGGAACCCCGAAGCCTAAAAGCCAAGCCGCCTGGCAACCCCGGAAGCCCCCTCCGCGAGCGCCCACAGACCAGCCGCCTCCCCTCACTCCCACCTCCACGCCGTCTGCCCCGCTCCTCCTGCGCACACCGCACCAGGCCGACCCCGCACCTCGAAAACACCCAGAGACTGAGGGGGTTCTCCACACCAACCCCCACAGCCACGGCCCCCGCCGCCGGAAGCGCCCCGCTTCTCCACGCCACCGTCGTGAGGTCACTTCCGGCGCGACGCCGTGGACACCCGAGGGCGGGCCGTGGAGGGGCGGGGCGCCCGGGAAATTTGAAAGCTTGGGAGAACTGGGCTAGGGCCAGCCTTGCGGCCTTCCAGAACCGCGCCCCGGCGGCTATTTTGCGTGCCCCGCCTCTTTATATCGGGTGGAGTGCTGGTTGGAGTTGAGGTCCTGCCTCCCTCCCCTGCCCAGATTCCTGGGGGCCTCCGCTGTCTCTTGCGGTCTTGATGAGAAGCTGCGGCTTTTCCTCCACTCCCCTTGCGCTAGTCGCCGGACAAGAGCGGAGGATTTTGTGGCGGAGGGCTGGTGACGTGGACACCAACCTTGATCATTTGCATCTGGGGGACGCAATAAGTAGGCTCCCGCGACGGAATAAAGGAAACAAGAAATTCTCTTCGTGGTTGATCTTCCAAGTTTCTCAGCTTCAGCGCATCTCGGGTTAGTGTCAGCCAGTTTGTGCTTGACTGCCCTCCTCCCGGTACTCGCTACGCGGGAAAGCGCCACTCTCCTCCCCATGGCAGTTTAGAGTCTTGATTTTGAAAAAAGCATGCGTTTATGGCCAACTCTGAGTGTAATGAGGAATTTTAGAGCCTAAAATTTCCAAGGTCATCTTGAAGCCTGCTTTGGGAACCACTGCTTGGGCAGGCAGCATACAGTAGGGCAGTGGTTCCAAACTTGGCTCTACAAAATCAGTTGAGGAACTTTATAAAATTTCCTCTTTCCAGGGCCTCTCCCCTCCCTTCCCCCATCAACAGAAATTCAGTTTTAGTAGGTCTGCAGGGGCCCTGGCATCTATTATTTTAAAGGTTCTTTCCAGCCAATTCTTTGCACACCGCAGGTTTGGGTGCAATTGGTGTATCAGACTCAGGGTTGAATCCTAGCTCTACCTTTTTTTTTTTTTTTTTTTTTAACAAACAAGCTGTGCAACTCTGGAGATAATAGCTAACACAGTTGCTGTGAAATTAAATGCGATAATGTGCACCTGAACATGGCTGATATTCCTAAAAAAGGTGGATGATACTCTTGTGCCTTCCTTTGGTTAGGCTTCTATAGTCCACTCTAAATGATTTTTTAAACTCACAGGAGAATCAGTCTTCCATCGTGTGGTTGTTTGCTGCAAGCACTGCTGTAGCCCCAGAGGTCAGTTGGATGTAATGCCTACCCTTACATCAATATCACCTTGCACAGTGACTGCCAAATAGTAGGCGCTAAAATAAATGTCTGTGGAATGAATGAAAGGATTGTCCTAAGACCCCCTACATAGACTTTCCCCAGAGCTCAAACTGGAAAGCTCTAGTCAGATCAGCAGTCCTAGTATTCAGCCATTAAACTTTCAAAAAGAGAGCAACAACTGCCTTAATTCCACTAGTGAATTGCTCTGCTTGGAGAATTCCGCTGTATTGTTTTTGGACTTTGACCTCACGGAAGGATCAATCACCCAGTCTTTTGAGTCTTTTAGTGCTTTTAAGCATTACTGAGTCTCTCATTTGGCCTACAAGGAGTGGCAAATACATTCAGAATCCGAAAGAACATTGTTTTCTCTAAACTGTGTCTCCATTCTTCTTTCTGTAGGGCTGGTCATCTGAGAACCTCAAAGATTCTCTCTGAGAAGGCGATTGTTTCCAGACCTGAGCACAGAAAAGTTGCTCTCATTAAGTTCTTTCAGAAACCACAAGCCAGTGGCATCCGGCAAAGGTTCTTAAAAATACACATTCTAGGCCTCTCTCTCAGATAGTCTGAGTCAGTAAGTCTAGGGTAGCATCTGGGAACCTGTATTGTAATAAGGTCCTCAGGGAGTTCTGACGCTGGTGGCTAGAAAACCATACTTTTGGAGCCACAGCAAGCTCTTTGCTTAACGTTAGATGGAAAAGCCTGCTAGCACCACCATTCCCTCCCCAAGCCTCCCGCCACCACCCCATGCCCAAGTCACACACACAGATTGACAAGGTTCACGCCTCCAAAGCCTAATTTAGTTCTTTCCTTTCTTGCCTTTTTCCCTGGGCTCTGATGGATCCTACACTAATGCGTATCCAGTTTTACACAAGAGGTATGTTCTCTCAGCAGAATCTAGAACTCGAGGTGTTCGTTAATTACACAACAAATTCAAATTAAACATCAGCATCTTACAGAACTAGGGAAGGAGAGGAGTCATGCTGTAACTTTGTTCCAAACACCTTGTCTTTGCTACAACCACCAGCTATACGGATTGACCCTCTATGTGTTAAACACTAGTTGGGACAAGAAATACACACCATATGCCTGCAACATCTTGTGGTACAAGAAAGCAAAGAAGCTATCAAAAACTACTAGGTTTTTGTTAAAAGAGCTCAGAAGCCAACTTGAAGAGGCTCCCACTGGTCAAAAGTAGCACTATTTGAGCATGGATGAGAACAATAGAAATTCATCAAATATATTAAAGTCTGTGATCACTAATGATAATTTAAGAACACTTAATTAGAGACATTCTTAACCATACACCTGGCACTCTCCTACTTATTTTACTCAAGTGAAATTAGAACCTATATTCATATAAAAACTGGTACACGAATATATATGTCAGCTTTACTCATAATCGCCAAAAATTGGAAACAACTTAAGTGTTCCTCAACTGGGGAATAGATAAACAAGCTGTAGTAGATCCAACAAACAATAAAAATGAACAAATTAATGCATGCAACAAAGTGGATGGATCTCAAATGCATTACGCTACGTGAAAGCCAGACTCAAAAGCTATATACTGTATAATGCTATTTGTATGACATTCTGGAAAAGGCAAAACTATTGGGACAGAAAACATCAGGGTTTGCCTGGGGGTGAGGTATAGAAAGTTTGACTACAAAGGGGTAACACAAGGGAATTTGCGGGTGGGGTGGGGTGATAGAACTGAATCTTGAGTGTATGCATTTGGGAAACTCATAGAAATGTATGCCACAACGACTGAATTTTACTGTATGTAAATTAAAAATAATTTTTTAAACTAGATTGCAACATTTTCTCTATCAGAGAATGTATGAAATCTCGTTTTCCCAGCTTTTTGTTAATTAGTTGTACTTGTTGCAGTATAGGAAAAATGAGACAATATTAAAAGAAACCATGATAGGTCATTGTTGGAGGATGCTAGAAACCAGCACGTTATTTGAAAACTGATAAGTGAAGGGAAAGAATCAGCATATAGCCTGCCTTTCTTATGCTCTCTGTACTACTGAGTAACAAAAATAGAGGAGGCAAAGTTTCTCTTTGAAAAAGTATTCCAGCTAATAAGTGAAGAAGAAACAATAGAATATCATTTTGCTACCTCCAATGAACCAAAGGATCTAGGCATTGAACATCAATGGCTAGTAACACCAGGAAAAGAGAAAGAACCAAAGTGCTTCCTGATGGAAGAACACAAGACTATATATGAAGTAAACTTGCCCCTCCCCCAATCAAATCTGAAGCTGAACAAACCTCTAGATTCAACTACCAATTTACAGTAAATACTTTGGACAAAGAAACATATTAAATGACCCTATAGAGATACAGTCAGCAAAATCCAGACTGTGAGAAATTCTGCAGGACCAACAAGCTGGATTTTTCAACAAATTTCAAGAGAGAACAAAGAGAAGGGTAAACCTATGTAGTTTACATGAGACATGAGCCTTAAAAGACAACCAATCACAATATGTGGCTCTTGATGGGATCCAGATGTTTTAATACTGTAAGAGACGTTTTTGACACTTATTAGACAATTAGGAGTTCAAATACCCTGGCTATGTAATGATATTAAGGAATTACTGATTTTTAAGCATAGTCTTGTTTCTTAAAAGCCCTTTCAAGGGGCCTGCCAGGTGGTATAGTGGTTAAGATCATGCTCTCTGCTTCAAGGGCCCAGGGTTCGCTAGTTCAGTCCCAGGCGCAGACCCACACTCCGATAATCAAGCCGTGCTGTGGCGGCGTCCCATATATAAAATAGAGGAAGACGGGCACAGATGGTAGCTCAGGGCTAATCTTCCTCAGCAAGAAGAGGAAGATTGGTAACGTACCTTAGCTCAAGGCCAATCTTCCTCACCAAAAAAAAAAATGCTTTCAGAAATACATACTGAAATATTTACTGATGAAATCATATGATGTCTGCTTGGAAATAATATGAGGGTGTCAACGGGGTGTTGCTGCAACATGACTGGCCATGGGTTGGTGGTGGTTGGGACTGGATGATAGTATATAGTGATTTATTATGCTATTATCCTGTCTACTTTTGTGTATGTTCAAAAGTCACCATAATAAAAAGTTTTTTTTTTAAAGTAACAAATATTTAAACACAGTAGCTGACCAAGTCCAGCTTTACGAAAGCCAGTGCAGCCTTGTTTGGTGTGCTAATATACCTCAAAAAATATTAGGTATGAAATGGTTAAACCAGGAACACACCAAGCCATAGAGCAGCCAGGGAGAAGTTGAACAACATTACACTGAAAGGGTAGTGGTGTTTGTTTATGGCACATGTGTGAGGCACTATGAGATAACATTTAACAATGACCATTGTAATAGTAAACTGTAAGATCAAATTGTAATTGCAAATGACTATTGTGGAAATAAAGCATAATTAGTAAGGAAAGCTAGTAAAAGAAAGGGATTCATAGATTTCAAACGGTTCTTGGGGAAAAAAAAATCAGCTAACTGGCTAAGACCTCATCTCAACAAAACCAAAAGTAACCTTCCTGGTTTGTTAATAGCAACTCACTTTGGGAACCTTAAGCACATTAATCAACAACAGAATGTTAATCAGATGTTAAAAAGTTGGTGAAGAGCTAGTGACTTCGAAGGAACTCCAAGGAAAGTATAAAAAAGTAGGTCACAGAAGAAGATGTATGTTACAATCTCATTTGTGTGAAAACAAGCTACATATGTGACGCTCCACAAACAAACAAAAAAACCTACCTGTGTAAATGTGTGGAGAAAGGTCTAGAAAGGATACCCTCTAAACGGTGT